TTCTGGGTGGACATGAATTTTGAAGACACTATTTGATGTGGGACATTGCCAGTGAGGCACAGGGTAGTGGCCCTCTCAGGAGGAGTAGTGACTAAAGGCAGGCTGGATGTGGGGCTGGGGGGGGTTAAAAATGGGCTGTACAGCAAGATGGGGTCCCCCAGGTGGAGGACGAGGGAACGTGTGAGGACAGACTCAGGCTGGGGGAGCCTGTCACGGTCAGGGACCAAGGTTCCTGACTGTCTATGCACATGGGTTATACTTGTTCACCCAGCTCAACCTCCGTCTGCTCCTCAAGGCTGGCTACCTGACCAGCAAGCACCTGCTCTGCAGGCACTGGTGTCCTTTCCAGGACAGGCAGTACAGACAGGTTCCACCTGGCCCATGCAGCGGCCTTTCCCAGCTGGCTGGTCAATCACAGGAATTCTTCAACCCTTAAAATCTTACCCTGATCAAATTAGCTACTAGGGTCTATGGGGCCAGGGACAGGGCAGCCTGACCAGGACGTGACCTGTGGACAACTCTTTATGAGCTTGTCTGGCCACATTCTGCTCATGCTCTCTGGGAGCTCCCTCCCTCATGTGCTCATGTGCATGTCCTTGGGGACCTAGCCTGGACTTCCTGAGCCCACACACAAGCTCTCCAGGCCGCCGCACACAGCCACATGCAACGGGTGTGTTTGTTTCCAGTGAAGTCCTGGGAGGGGAAGGATGTGGTTGATGAGGGAGGGCTGCCTTTTGACTTTTAAAGATGATGCCGCTACACATGGGTCTCTCAACAGGGCACACAGTTTCGATAGACAGTGAAAACTAAAACCCAGGACAAGGGTAGGCTTTGATGTGAGAGGAAAAGTTATATAAAAAGGGCCATATATAGCTGCTCAGACTCGCTCACGGAATTTGTTTTCCCCTTACAATCCACACATTTAGCAAGCATTCTCTGAATATTTAGTATGGGTTAGGTGCTGTGGTTAGTATATACATAGTGTATGTAGAGATATGTACAAGATCTGTACATGTGCATGCATATATGGATGTGTTTACACACGTATGTAAATTCGTAGAATATGCATGTAAAACACCTGGCGTAACACTTTTGACAAAGCAATCTGTGGATAAGCATCAGTCTCGATGGGTATTATGGGGTCACATCTGCTTTTGGACAGCCCTGACTTTCAGCAGCCTCGCTGGGCTCCAGGCCGACTGTGTGTTGTGTGTCTGGGCAGCACACACCTCCTGTCCAGACACGAGTCTGTTTTCTGTCCACTGCTTCTTTCAGCACAGGCCCTGGGGGAGTTTTCAGGGGACGTGGGTCAGGCTCCCTGGGAGGTTGCGCCCACCCTCCGTGGGATGGTCTGGCTTTGCTAAGAGCTCAGAGCAATGCCTGGTGCAGGGCAGGCTTCCTTGGCATGAAAGGTACGTGAGTGGACAGATGGGGGGAGGGATACTCCATCACTGTCCAAGGAGGACCTCTTTGTGGACAGCAGCAAGAGATGGACAAGGAGGGAAGGCCACATGTATGCTGTTCACCAGTCATTCCTATGGTGCCAGGCACCTAGCAGACCATTTGGGAAATGTCTTTGGAAAGAGATAAGGGTCTGTGGTTTTCTGAACATGACGGGGCATAGACAACAGCCCAGTGCTCCCTGGGGTCAGCTACTGGGATCAAGGAAGGCCTTGGCCAGTGGCTGCAGGGATACTGGATGCCTCTGTGCATCTATAAACTGAAGACGTCACCTTGAGTGTGATGGAGCAAATGTCACCCAGTATGGTTATGAAACCCAGGCCAAAGATGGAGATGTTTTTACAAGGCAGGAACCTGGAGGCATGGCTGTGCGTGTGGTCATTTTCATCTGCCTCTTAGCAACCAACATTCAGCCCTTGTGACGATGGGCGCTGACAGGGCCTGTGTTCTGCTGCCTTCACCCAAGAAAAGTGTCTTTCTGCCACCCAGAAGCTTGGGCAGGGGCAGGGAACAGAGCAGGATGCCCCCAGGGTGGGACCATGGCTAGGACCAAAGGAGCTCGACACGAAGACAAGTTACCGAAGCCACATGACACACGTGGGCCCCACTGAGCAAGTGAGCTCCTGCCCCTCACTAGCTCTGTGGGGGCAGACTTTCTGAGCCTCAGTTTCCTCATCTGTGAAACGGGCATGACAATGTTACCTCTCTTAGAGGGCTGCTGGGAAGGATAAATGAGTTAGCTGGGAGCAGAGCGGGCACACGGGGCTCTACACAAGTGCTGGCTGTTGTCACTGCACTTGCTCCTGTCACCTTCTTCCCCCAACTGCAGCATGCAGCTGGGAACCCGTAAGAACATTCTAGGGACTGAGCCTGAGAGGACCCCTTCTCGGGATGGGCATGACAGTGAGGAATACGTGAAGGCTGGCCACTGCTGCTCACAATCACTCCCCTCCTGCCCATTTCCTGCCACCTTGCCTTTGTCTCTGGAAAGGAGAGACTCAGAGCCGGAGCCTCTACAGCAGGCAGGGAACCACCGTGCAGATGAGAAAGAGGCTTGTTCTTGCATCCAACAGATTAGAAAATCTCCTGGGCACACAGAAGCTGGTGCTAACGCTCTTGGCTGGCCAGCAGGATGTGGTGCATGTCAGCCCCTGTGCCCCTAGGAACTGGGTCCCCCTGAGCGAGAGCAGAAATAGCAGCAGGAGCAAGAGGAGTGTGTGTGTGTGTGTGTGTGTGTGTGTGCGGGGGTCGGGGGCTGTGCTCCAGGACAAGGAGGAATCCAGAACCCAGCAGCCTGAGGAGCAGAAGTACAAGCCAGGAAGGGATGCGAGGGCTGTTAGGAACTCAAGCACGGAGCACAGCCAGGAATGAACATGGGTGAAAACAGTCAGAGAGCCACCTGCAGAGTGGGAGAAGACGTTTGCAAACTATGCACCCAACAAGGGAGCAATGTCCAGAACACACGAGGAACTCAAACAACTTAGTAATGAAACAAATCATCCAATTTAAAAATGGGCAAAGGAGCTGAACAGGCATTTCTCAAAGGAAGACATACAAATGGCTAACAGAACAGACACCTGAAAAAATGCTCAACATCACTAATCATCAGGGAAAGGCAAATCAAAACCACACTGAGATATCATCTCAGCCTAGTTAGCCTGGCTATTACAAAAAGACAGAGAATAACAAATGCTGATGAGGATGTGGAGAAAGAGGAACCCTCCTACACTGCTGGTGGGACTGTAAATTAGCACAGCCATCATGGAAAACAGTATGGAGGTTCCTCAAACGACTACAGATAGATCTTCCATATGATCCAGCAATCACACTGCTGAGGATATGCCCAAAGGAATGGAAATCATCATGTCAAAGGGACACCTGCACTCCCATGTTCATCGCAGCTCTATTTACAATAGCCAAGATTTGGAACTAACCATCAACAGATGACTGGATCAGGAAAATGTGGTACATATACACAATGGAATGTTACTAAGCCATAAAAAAGAATGAAATTCTGCCATTCACAGAAACATGGATGAACCTGGAGAAAATTATGTTAAGTGAAGTAAGCCAGGCACAGAAAGAGAAATACCATATGTCCTCACTCATAAACAGAAGCTTAAAAAATAAATAAATGGAGTAATTCAAAGTAATAATTCAAATTGCAACTATGACAATTTGCATAAAATTAGTAAATAAAAAATCTTCACATGATTACTCAAAAAAAAAAAAAAAAAGAGAACAGTCAGTCCAATTCCTCCTTAGAGCTGAAGGAAGCAGGGCAGGAGGTGGAGGTGAACGCGGAAGGCCCCCAGACGAGTCCTGCAGACCCCACGCAACCCAGGCTGGCTTAGTCCAAGGGCCACACAGGACGCGGCCACTCCCCTGTTGGTGGCTCCACACCATGCTCATTTAGCGGCCTTGGGTTGATTTATCAGCATACAATCACCTATTTATTCCAGATCTCCTATTTCTTTCCTAGTCACACTTGTCTCTGGGAAATTCTTCTCAGATTTGACCTAAAATGTTCTATTTCCTTACACTTAATTGGGTGACAATTTTGAACAAAACACACGTGCCCTAAAAGATTCAGTAATATTTGGAGACCATCCTCAGAAAGCCACCCCCACACCCAGGAACGGGGCCCCTGCACACGCTCTGGAGAGAAAGCCCAGGAAGTCGCTGGGACGGCTTTGAGGAACAGCCCCTCACAGAAACCTCCACGAGGAAGCCAGCCACCAACTCCTGGGTCAGGAAGCTGTACTTGCCCACACTTTTTGGGAATTTAGAGCTTCCCCTACCTGAGACCAGGACGAGGCAAACCAGCTGCCCTTCG